GAGCATCATTGGAATCATGTTCAATTGGTCTATTTCACACTAAAAGGATCATAGACAAACATAGTGTGCATGCTTGGAGCATGGCATGACTATTGTTTTGATTCAAGTATAAAGTTGATTATTTGAAACATTATACAATGAATAATGAGTAATCAATATGGTGTTTAAATAAAAGATGTTTTATTTACTCTCAAAGGTGCTTGGGACCATAGAGTGATTAGTATTATTCTTGTGTTTCACTTTACATGTTTTGACTTCCAGAATAGCGAGGTTATTCTTCCCGAATGACTAAGTTATTCAAACCATCCACAGTCGATAATACATTGGAAGTAGGTATTAAGGCAAGACTGTCATGAATTGGGTTTGTAGATGTCTAAGGTATTGGACATAGCAAAAGTTGCTGCAACATTCATGAGTGCTCCTGGAATGAGATTCGAGTATTGGATTAAACCCACGCTCACTTGTATCACTTCATGGATTTTATCTCGAGTGATCGTGAGACGATAATATCTTATATTCTTCAAACCTAGAGATATGAGTTGTTAACTATGAGTTAGTTATACATTGATTGTACGAAAACGCATTGGTAACTCAATGTTATAAAACGTGCCTTTGTGTATGATTCAACAAGTAGTAGAACAAGCATATGAGTCGAAGTTTATCCATTCCTTTTACTCTTGGAGGGATAAAAGCGATATATGTGGGCCCCTCGATGATTTAGTGATGACAAACGTAAGTGCTCGGCCGGGCCTGGACTGATTTGATTTGTTCAATTAGTCAGTCGTCATAAATCGGAAATCGGGAAACAACAGATGGACAGAGAGAATGATTATAATCCATGTCTCAGTCCATATGATATCTAGAATGGAGGAATATATGATCCCTTATCTAATGGACGCGTCATTGATTTGTTCAGAGTTCGACAACAGCTTTAAGAGCTACGATTGCTAGTCGGGTTTTGGAGTCATACGCAATAATAGTTTTAGACTTATCCAAGTGGGAGACTGTTGGATTAGGTGTCTAAGCCCATAACTATTATTGGTATGTATTCAACCCGAGACTAGCATGGTCCATTTGGGTTGCATATCATCAGGACAATTTGTTAGGATGGACTTTTGAGAGAAGAGGTGTTTATTAATATATTATAAGTTCTAATATATTAATATGAATTCATATGTTTTAATTAGTATTGATCAAGAATTAATTTGGAATTAATTTAGTGATCAAAAGAGACTAATTAAAACTATGGGGACTAATTATGGTAATTAGTTATATTTATATATGTTGGGCTTATGATCCATGTTAGACCAAGTTTATGTATGGATACATAAAGAGTTGGGCCACATGAACCATGGATCATAAGACCCATGGATATGGGTTTGGGTTATACCCATGACTCTTAGAATTCAACACATATAAATACATATGTTATGACCTAAAAACGTGACCCACTAGTGTGTGTGTATGTTCTTGGAGTTCATGAAGGTTTTAGAGTGCATGGAGATTCTCTCTCAAGTCCTACCTTTGTCCTTAATGTGTTGTGACTTCATTTGAGGTTTCCACACTATTGGGGCTAAGTTCTTAAGGCCAAATACATCAAGACTTCCAGCCACACAAACGGTATGTTACACTATCTAGTATTTTATGTAGTTTGTATGACAATTGCATGCTAGCTATACGTTCAATACCTTGGAAACCATTTGCATGTATAATTAGTGAAAACATAGATCCAATGTATTTAGGGTTGTATGTGCACCATAGGATGTTGTATTATACCAAAACCCAACAAACAGTTCCAAGCAGGAGACTGTGGCTGATTCAACGTGCGAATCAGAGTACATAGCAACAAACGAAGCGTCGAAGGAGGCTATATGGTTGAAGAACTTCATTGGAGACATTGGAGTCGTACCAGCCATAAAGGAGCCCATGGATATTTTCTATGATAATGAAGGAGCAGTTGCCTTAACCAAGGAACCAAGGGATCATGGCAGATCCAGACATATTTACAGGAAATACCACTTCATCAGACATCGGGTAGAAGAATGACTCTTCATCGTCAAGAAGGTGTCATCAGAAGAGAATCCTGCAGATCCCCTCACAAAGGGTCTGAGTAGGATTAATCACGTTCAGCATGCAAGGAGCATTGGTCTGAAGGGCGATATTAGTTTTAGTGATTAGATAGATATTTAGAAACTTGTAACAATATAAATGTAATTGACATTTGATGATTAAGTAATGGAAGATTTATTTATGAGTAAAGTTTACTATCTTTTGTCAATTGTTTATTTTGTGTTTCACTTTTGCATGTTTTACTTCCTGAATAATTGGATTGTTCAAATTATCCACAGTCGATCATACTGTGGAACTAAGTAGTGAATTAAGATTGTCATGAATTGGCTTGTAGATTGTCTAAGTGCTTAGACATAGCAAAGGTTTGTTGCAACGTTCATGAGTACTCCTGAAATGGGATTTGAGTATCGGATTAAACCCACGCTCATTTGAATTACTTCATGGAATTTATCGCGAGTAATTGTGAGACGATAATATCATATAATCTTTAAACTGAGATATATGAGTTGTTGTTTACGAGTTAGTTGTGCATTGATAATGCGTAAACGCATCAGTAACTTGATGTTATAAAACGCATTATTGTGTATGATTTGATAAGTAAATAGTACAAGCATATAAGTCAAAGTTTATATGTTCCTTTTACCTCAAGGGGTAAAAGTGATATCTTGGGCCCCTCGATGATTTTGTGTTGACTTATGTGTCGGGCCTGGTCTGGACTGAATTGATGTGTTCAATTAAGTTTGTTGTCAAACAAATCTGAAATCGGGAAACAAACTGATGGACATTGAGAATGACTATGTTCCATGTCTTTGTCCACATGATATCTTGCAGAACAGAGGATTATATGATCCCTTACTAAAGGATGTGTCATTGACTAAGTCAGAGTTCGACAGCGGCTTTTGAGAGCTACGATTGCTAACCATATTCTGAAGTCGTATTTGCACTTATAGTTATTAGACTTATCCAAGTGGGAGACTGTTGGATTAGGTGTCTAAGCCCATAACTATAATTGGTATGTACTTGATTTGATGGTAGCATGGTCCTTTTGGGTTGCCTTCACCATAACAACTTGACAGGATGATTTTTGAAGAAAGATGTTAATAAATGATTTATTAATATATTATAAGAATAATATATTCATTAGAAATCAAATTATTTAATTAGTATTTAATCAGAAATTAATTTGGAATTAACTTTAGGATTAAAGGAACTGATTAAAAGAACGGGGACTGGTTTTGCAAATCATTGATAGTTGCAAAGTTGGGCTGATGGACTCCTTATGGATGGAGTGGACGAAATCTATAGGAGGCCCTATAGAATTTAGTCCAAGGCTTCAAGAGTGAGAGGTTCATGGACTGCTTAAGGCCTAAGCAAGGAAATTTAGGGTTTCCACTTGAAAACCCTAACAGCCACAGCTATATAAGGAACCCCTAACATATGATTTCGGCCCTATGCTTTCTTAAGGAACCCTAGCCGATTTTGATAGTGTTTTACCTCCTCTCTCCTCTCATCCTTTGCTAGTGGTGTTTGTGACTCCATTAGAGGTGCAACACTTGAGGCACTAAGCTTTCAAGAGTCAAGATTAACCAAAGGAATTCTTGTTATTACTACATAGCAAGTAAGGTAATCTTCTAACCCTAGTTTTCATATAGATTTCGAAATTGTATGTTAGTATTAGGGTTATTGCTTTAGAATTTCAATTTGTATGTATAACTAGTGAAAAACTTAGATCCAAAGCAAATTAGGGTTGCATGATCACATAGGAATGTAGATATGCTCAAAACCCATCACTATAACTCCCGAAACAAAAACTATGGATTTTGAATACTTACAGAGGCCCTAATCAAGGTAAGAAGGTTGGTGCTTATTGGATATCTCTTGAACAATCAACTTCTAGCAACAAGGACACCTTCAAGCCACACCAAGGAAGAAAAATTGCACCAAAGATCAAAGACAGCTATGGTTTGCATGTCTCAAAGATGGATGTTGAGCTAATGACGAAACCCTAGAGGTTTGTGCCATTAAATAGGCCCAAAATTCGAGGCTTCTAAGATTTCGCCCAGACCCATCACGCTGCAAACTTCATTAAAGGTCGTGTCGAGACCCTTAACCAAGTTCGTGCCGCTACAAAGAAAACCTTCAAAATTAAAGGATTAAAATTACTAACCGAGAAAACGAATGTTACAATGACAATATACAAGTTTAAAAGGAATAGAGTGTTGTTACTAAGCGTGCCATTACATGGGCCAAATTATACATTCATCCATTATATGGGCCAAATTATACATCCATATACACATACACTAATGTTGTGTATGTCGATTCATGACATCCTTTTGACATCGATTAAGGTTTATTTTTTTTACCATGTTTGTATTCAAAGACATTTTGGGCCATTTTGAATGACCTTTGTGGTTTGTTTTGTGAACCTTTCCCTCAAAGTAGAAAGGTTGGTGAACCTTTGAGTTAGGTGAAGGGTTTCCTCCTCTGTTGGTGAAAGGACATACTTTGGAATATGCACTTGAGAGGTCTCACCAGCCCCCACACCAATTCAAGAGCCACCCGTTAGCTCCTTTCATAATAATTGAAGTTTGAAACAACTTGCTGATGAATTAGTTTTAATATATATATATATATATATATATATATATATATATATATATATATATATATATATATATATATTAATGAATAAGAATCCGACATTGGATTATTTATTGAACAAGTATTGGCAAACGAGTTAACCGTTATCATAATATACAAAATCAAATGTGATTCATTAATATAAAATTAAATCCATTAACAAAATTTTATATGATCTAGTGATAATATTGCTTTTATAAAACTTAATTTATATGCCATGCTATAAATTGTTGACCAAAATTATTTAATTTATAAAGAAATATGAGAAATAGTGAAAGATACGCATTATTTAGTCCAAATCAAATTGGTTCAAGTAGGAAAAGTGCGAACATAGAAAGAAGAACCAAAACTCTTTCAAGAGCACACGTGATTGTTTTGCTCGATTAGATACACCAACACACCATTAAAATCTTTCGTCCTGCAGTCTACAACACACCAAACTACGGAATCAAAGATCAAGGGTTTAATAATATCTTTCGTTCGTTTCTAATTTTAAGTCTATAGATTTTTGTCGCACATTCAATATGATCTTCTCTTTGAAGCAATCCAATGTAACGATTCCTGTATTCAGCTCTAAAATTATTGATCACCGAAGAAATCATCCTGAACAATTCTCGGTTTTACCGCCTCTTTCTAATCCCAAAGCTAGCAAAATTTCCATCGTCTCAAATTCAAAACCACTACATGTTTCCTCAATTCAAACTTTTGGATCATTACGAACACTATTATATGCTGGTCGGAGTCCAAAATCTAGTGTCGCGTGTAACGCATATGAAGCTGATCGATCTGATGCGGAAGTAGTTGGTGAGAAAATCGAAGCAGCAAGGAGGGTTAAGATCGGTGTTTATTTTGCAACATGGTGGTTTTTGAATGTTATTTTTAACATTTATAATAAGAAGGTTTTGAATGCTTTTCCATACCCATGGTTGACTTCAACGTTGTCTCTTGCTGCTGGATCAGCCATCATGTTGATCTCTTGGGCTACAAAAGTCGCTGAAGCACCCAACACCGATCTCGACTTCTGGAAATCCTTATTCCCTGTAAGCAAGTAATTGTCCTGTTAGGGTTTATGATCTCTCATAATTATTCAGAAACTGATTTGGGCATTGTTTTTCAGGTTGCATTAGCACATACAATTGGTCATGTTGCAGCAACTGTTAGCATGTCTAAAGTTGCTGTTTCATTCACACACATAATCAAGAGCGGTGAGCCTGCTTTTAGTGTGTTGGTGTCAAGGTTCATATTGGGAGAAACATTCCCTTTGCCAGTTTACTTGTCTCTTATACCAATCATCGGTGGTTGTGGCCTTTCTGCCCTAACTGAACTCAATTTCAACATGACTGGTAAATCAATCACCTTTAAACCAATTAGGCTTACAAATTGGGTTCTAGCTTCTAATTTCTTGTTGATTGTTGATTGTTGATTTTTAGGGTTTATGGGTGCCATGATTTCGAATTTGGCGTTTGTGTTTAGGAACATATTTTCCAAAAGAGGCATGAAGGGGAAATCTGTTAGTGGGATGAACTATTATGCTTGTTTATCTTTGCTATCACTTTTGATTCTTACACCATTTGCAATTGCTGTTGAGGGACCTAAAATGTGGGCTGCTGGATGGCAGAATGCCATCTCTGAAATTGGACCCAATTTCATTTGGTAACTATATATATATATATATATATATATATATATATATATATATATATATATATATATATATATATATATATATATATATATATATTCTTTCATGTCATTGTCATGGTTGTTATTATTGTTGAGTGAATGGCTAAAAAGACATTTGTTCTTATTGATACTATAGGTGGGTGGTAGCACAGAGTATCTTCTATCATTTGTACAATCAGGTTTCATACATGTCACTTGATGAAATCTCTCCTTTGACGTTTAGTGTTGGGAACACAATGAAGCGTATATCTGTCATTGTTTCTTCTATTATCATTTTCCATACACCCGTGCAACCAGTCAATGCTCTTGGAGCTGCAATCGCTATCCTTGGAACTTTCTTGTATTCTCAGGTAGTACCCTTTTCCTTTTACTACAGTATTAATTATGTCTTCAACTTGAAATTTCATAACAACCAACCAACAGTTTTACTGCTCCATTTCAATTGTTCTTGTATTCAAGTTAAAAAATAATATAGATCTTGTAGAAGAAAAATTGACTGAAATAAAACGAGAACATGGTAGAACCGGAAATCTTGATATTACAATTCTGAATTATGCACCATGACATTGTGATAAGGTTAGAGTCTTGGGGGTTTATATTCAAACATTATTTCAACAACAAGTAGTGATTGTTTAGATCTTTTATAAGAAAAACAAAAAGGAATCATCAGAAATCTTGATAGTAATTCTGCACCACTATAATGTGATAAGGTTAGAGTCTGGGATATTTTTGTCCAGGTATATATATATATATAGATATATATATATATATATATAGATATATATATATATATATATATATATATATTTGTGAAAATTTATATCAATTCTTTGTTCCATATTGACCAGAAAAGTCAAACATGGATTTTATCAATCTTTTTTTTTTACTAATTTTTTGTTTAAATTGAAAAGGCGAAGCAGTGAAAAAAACGAAGGACGGAAGTGGAAATTCACGAGGTTGTCTTGTAGTGTTGATATTGGTTTATTTACATCCATGGTTGTCTTGTAGCTGTTGATGTTGTAGATAATAAGAATGGATGAGTATTTATTTTACTTAGATATATTCCTATGTTATAGAAAGGATTAGACTTTTTTGCCCCCGATGTTGTGGGTGCTAGTAGTGAACTGAGTTCTGTTTTTCTTTTCAATAAACATGGGCAAATTGGGCAACAATTTTGTCATGACACAACCTTGCTCGGTCTTCGTATAATGGTATCAATATTTGTTTGCAGTAATAAGATAAGCGTTTGTTTTGGGGAAATTGTAATTTTTACCTCTTCATGTGAAATTTTAACATAAAACATGTTTTGAATTTGTTAATTAATTCTCTAATTTTTATGACACAACAACATTACCTTTTTCCGTCACTTATTCAATTTTTATAAGTGATTAAAGCTTTAAATCTAATTATTTATAATTAAAGTAATTTTGTGACTTGAATACATTTTCAACAAATATTATATAATCCAAAACAGTATGTCATTATAAAACAAAAAAAGATCATGTTCAAATGCTCATGCATTTAACAACAAAGAGTCGGCTTTTCCAAAACAAAAATTACCTTCTCCCTTTAGATTTGTAAGCGGGTTAGGTTAGATGATAATATCCAAGTGAAAGTCTGACTATTCTGGTTCCAACGTTCAGACTATATATACAAGTAAAGTAAAAGACTAGATAGATGTAGATAGATCATCGATGTTCCTTCTCCGACTAGTAAAGATCGATAATGGGTTCCCCTTGGTTTAAATTGGGTTGAAGAGACCATGGTAAATTGAAGAGTCGAGCCATGATGTATTTGAAGATCTTGTTCACATTAATGTTGTGTCGAGCACTTGAAAAAAATAACGTTGCTTTCATAACCTTTGCGTATGCCCGTGCCTGCCACGTCATAATTCACATGCTCTTTAAATTAAATAATACTTACAAAAGAAACAAAAATATTATACTATTTATTTATTTCAACAATAATGGAGCATATTACTCTACTTATTCCTTTTGTCAAAATGGGTTGCGTTTCCTCCTCTAACCCTTCTAGATATCCATATATTCTATCCTCGCTATCAAATGTATATATTGTGTGTGTTTGTGTGAGAAACAGATTTTATATTGTATATAAACAGACATCGTGACTCGTTATTCTCTTCATTCACATGCCAGACCTTACTTAAATTCTTAGAGATCATATTTGTTTGTTTGTTTCCTAACAGATCTAAATTTTGTTCAATTTATATAGAATGATAATTAATATTACCCTACCAAATGAATTATTATCATTAGTTATATGTTACAAAAGGAGAATATAGATTTTTAATCAAATGGTGTTTGCTACTCTGAAACCCAACGGAAACATTTCAATTGAAACGTTCTCCTGTTTTATTACAATAAAATGTTATAATGATGACTTTCTAATAATATGATGTCAAAATATAACAATAAATATACCTGATTTACTATGGTCCATTGTAGATCTGGTGGAAGCATTACAAAATCATCAAATTTGGTCCCTATCAAGATAGGAATTGCAGTCTGCAATGCATGCAATGCAACAATAAAATTAAATTAAATTTAAAAAATCAGTAAATAATTCTTTTTATAAAGGTGGCCAGCGACAGGTCGATGCACCTCACCTGACAAGCTAACTTGTAAAAGATGATTATCAACAACTCAAGATGTGTCAAATTATTCCCTACTACACACACCCCACTATTTGAAATAAATTTTTTATCTAATAACTAAAATGACCATAAATTTCGCATGAATTCAAGTTGCAAATTATGAAATTCCTCAAAAAAAAAAAAAAAAAAAAAAAAACCTTGATAAAATTTAAAAAAAAACATTATTTTGAAATTATATAAAAAAAATTCAATTTATAAGAACAAATTCAAAATAACCAAGAAAATTTTTGCAATTGCAAAATAAAACTGTTACGATTTTTAATTTGTTAAAATCACATAATAAACAGGTCATGAACTTTTACATACCTTATTCCATTTTCTTGCTTGCATATACCATCCTAAGACACTGGGAATCCAAGAAAAAACAAACAGCATTAACTAAATTAAAGAATTGGCTTAAATAAATTTAAAAAATGTAAAGAAATAAATAAATAATTTACTTGTGGAGGGTGCATCGGCTTGTTAGATCGAACATAAACAAGATTGCGACGGAGTCTTTGCACGCTAACGGGACTTGATCGTTGGATCTCTTATCACCTGAATGTTGTATATTTCATTTTACTTTAAAAGATTTAAGAAAATTCTAAAATAAATTGAAATAAATAAAAAATTACTTACCTCCAACATCCCATATACTAAATGCAATTCTTGCTCCACCAAACGACAGCGTCTTATCCATTAGATTTAAACCAGCCATCTCCAAGCTTCCGTTCTCTTGTTCGTCTCCTACGTATTTAATCTTCAAAATATCGATAACAAAAAAGAAAGTTTAAATGGTTTCCTTTTTTACTCAATATGAAAATTTTCTTCAAATCCATAATTTCTCTAAAATTAATTAAAATCCACAACATACATAATCCCTGATGCCTTATAATGTTTTGAAGATTTAATATATATTCTAAAAAATTAGAAACTTCTTCAACCCCATAATAAAATTATTAAAATCTACAATACCCAATTTCTAGATTTTTGTTATATTTAATCTTAAAACAAACAAAAAGAAAATACAAAAAAACATCAAAACTGGGAATTACGTCTACCCCTCAATAAAATATACTTCTCATAGTTTCTTGTTTAGCGATGAAAGAAACAATTATGCAAAAAGAAAATATTTTTTGCAAGATTGGAAGTATCGTCAACATCAAAAATAAAATAATTGAATTATATGATACTGATAACGAAATTCATTAAATCATAAATTAACTAGAACAAATTTAATTAAATATAAATATAAAAAAACATAATAAAACTAACTGATTATAAACTAACCATAACAAAAGTAATTCAACCAAAATTCCTCACAATAAAATCAATCAGATTTCGAATACCATAAAAAAGCCAATTGAATTATAAAATAATCATAATAAAAGTAACTGAATCAATCAATACCCATAATAATATTATTCAAAAAAAATCATTATTATCCTGTTGTTTATATTTAATATCGAAAGAAACCAAAAAAAAAATCAAATTAAAAAAAGTCATCATGCCCATTTAAAGATTATTTAAAATACACAAAATACCATCATTCCTTTGTACTTTTTCTCAAAAAAATAAATAAAAGGAAAAAGAAAAATAAACTTACCATGAAACTTGTTTTTCCAATTTGACAATCACCCAATAAACTAATCTTGAGAGTAACCAAATCTGAATCTTCTTGATAGCCGTTGCAGGTGGTGGTGGGGTTTTCTAGGTCAAAACCAGATTCCAATTCCTCCACCGGAGAAGATGACCGCTGAGACAATCTCCGGTACCGGACTGGTTTCCCCATTGAACAAGCAAGAAATCTATCCCAGATCAATCGAATGATTTCTCGAAAAACTGAAACCTTCTGGAGTAAAACACTCCATCGGACGTCTAATCGGACGATTCTCCGGTAAAGATGAGCCATCTTTACGGTGGCTTCTCGTAATCTTGATCCATGAAAGTCCAAACTTCCTTCTTGGTGTCTCATAGTGTGTGTGTGTAGTGTGTGTGTGATTACGTGTAAATTGTGATGTTATATATGGTATGACTAACGGGTTAATGGTTGACCCGGACTCTTGTGTTTTTCTCTTTATGACAAAATGGTCCAGAAGGCCGGCTTCTTGATTCCGACGAAGTGAGGGCAGTTTGGTCAATTCAGGTAGCAGCCCAAGTACCCTTCTTGTATACGACTCCGTTCAAATTCGAACCATTTTCTTTTTGTCATTTTAAGTTTTTAACTTTAAATATCAAACAATTCATTTTTAATTCTAAAACTTGGTGATCGTGCCAACTGGGCTTGTTACCAAAATGGAAATGAAGATGTGGAGTAAATTGGTACCTCGCTAAAAATGTCAGATAGAGACCAAATATTTTAAAAAATAGGGTGGGGATTTATAAAAGTTTTTTTCATTGAATTTTTTTTAAGTGGAAAATGCTTATTTATTTTAAAGTTAAACATTTTCGACTAATATAGTTCAATATATATCGATTGAAGGCAAACGGACAACAAGCTGCGTCGCTAGCCCTTTCTGGATGGCAAAACCAATTCTTTTGAAAACAACATTTGTGGATCTAGGAGATATGACATTAGAATGCATGACCCGTTGGACTCTGTTGAGGAGCTTCACCGCTTCTGGAGCGAGAAAACCAAATGTATCGAATGCAAAAGGTACAAACACATGTTAATTTTTCTATACATGCATTCTCGTGCTTTACCACTTTGCACGCAGCGGCTTTCAAAGCGGCATGCCTTGCTGTGAGACTCCCGCTTCCCAAACCAACGAGAGGAGAGACCCCAGTAAGATCCACACACGCATGCTTCCCTCCTATCCACCCAAAGACCAAAATGTCAGCCGGTCTAAGTGTGGACCTTCCATTCTGCGGGTCCGTCAAAAAGTTCACTGGCGCTTCTTTCTTCGCAGAAATACCGGCACGCCGACAAGCATCAAAGAGAACATCCCGAACCACATCATGTCTGTACTTGAAACCAGGGAGCTCTCTACAATGAACTGCATGTTCCCCAAAGGTATCCAAACATGCCTTGCGGCAAACTGGGCATATCTCGTCAATTGGGAATAGGGTAATCATGAGGCGGTAACGAAGGATAGTTCGGTACTCCACAGGAGACATATGCTGGCCAAGACCATCAATAAAGGATAGTTAGCAATAAATCATGAGCATGAGGTGCCCGCAGACACTCAAAGACTGCTTTCTGTCTGACAGTCATGTTGAAGTTGACTTCCATATCTTTGACGATTTTGCTAAAAATGGCACACGCCAATGCTTTTTGGGATTTAGGGGGGCGGTGTCCTTATTAGTGAAATCGCTACAGTCAAATCCTGGAATCGTATCGCGAAGACGAGTTATAGCACATAGGTAATCCGAGTTCATACCACATACATCACTGTCACGTAAGATGTGGTCTTGTAATGCCCAAGATTGGGCCCTCGAGGCTACAAATGCGTAGGAGGAAACCTCGTATGCCGAGTACAAACCCAAACCACCGAAATGAATAGGTAAGGAAGCCAGCCGCCATTGAATGTCTCCAAAGAAGGGGTTTCCACATACCACCATATCCTCGATAGACCTGTGTAATCCTTTGTCAAAGAACAAAGTTGTCTCTTCTATATGTACCGGCTGACATGTCCTTAAACCAAAGATAAGTTTTGCAATACCCATACATGATCGAAGCAAAAGGAGCTCACTCTGCGGGTCACATAGTTGTGGAAGAAGGCCCATCAAATCAACAGCATTGACCGCTCTCTTCATGGCCAGCCCGCTAATAAACCCTGCGTCTCTGCTAACAGCCCCCCCCCCCCCCAATGAGCTTCACCCCCAAAGAAGGTCTCCCTATATCTGTTGGGAATAAATCAGCACGAAGCTTCCTACCATCACATGAGGGCCAAAAAATCTCCGTTTTCTTGATGTTCAACTCAAGACCCAAGCCTGGACCATGCAACCGAATAATGTTCAACACTCTAGCCACCTCCTCTGAATCCCCAATGACAGTCCCATCATATAGATACCAAGCATGGAGAAGGAGCTTACAATTGTCTCTAATCTTGTGCACAAGTGGGTGCAAAACGAGGGCAAAAAGAAGAGGGCCCAATGGGTCGCCTTGCTGCACCCCAGTGGCAGACCATATATGTTGGTCTCCAATATAAAGTCTCGCTGCTTGCCCGTACAATAAATTCACCCAGAAATAAATGGAATGGCACATCTTCTTAACCTCGTGGAGTAATGTTGATCTATCCACCAGGTTAAAGGCATTCGAGAAATCCACAGTCAGCATTACAAGAGACCCATCAGCATGGTGTTCACTCAACACCCTATTGGCACTGTGTAACACAGCCTCAGCACCGCCCGACACACCAACCTCGAACTGAAAATCATTAAGGTACTTGGCCATTTCTTTACCCACACCTTTCATGGCAACCTTGGAAACTAGACGTCTCCATATAGTGCCTACTGCAATTGGACGGATCCCGTTGTCAGGTTTAAGCAGAGGCGTGAGAGGAGCGGACGCAACAAACTCTGCCAAAATGGTTGGACGTCTTCTCGCTAACCATAAATTAACCACTGAAGTGATAGCACGTATGAGATCTGTGGTAATAGCAGACCCTTCTCCACAAAGGGCATCCAGTAAGTGTTGAGCCCTCAAGCCATCTCTCTCGCAAGAAGTTCCTTTAGGGAAAGATTTGATGCAACCAAATACACAGTCAAATTCTGCTACAAGGGGAGGTTCAGAAATTATGGGGCTTGGCATGGATGGGGGTGGCCTGAAAAAGTGTTTGCCCTCCAAAGTTTCAATAGTATCACCATTATATGGCGCAACACCCGATGAGCATAACACTTTCACTGCTGCGGTAAAATGACCATCTGCAACCTTACGGAGACACTGTTTGATGTTGGTGTTACTTGATGTAGACTCCTTCTGAAGGATGCCTCCACCCTGTCTCATGGCCCCAACCTCGGGCCCCAACCTCGGGATTGTCTAACATATTTTGAACTAACTTCCTAATACCATCCTCTTCCCCCCATGTATCCAATGACTTCAGGATGGAGCTTTGCTGTAAGGATTTTCTATTCCCAGACCTACATTCTTGTCTATTTTTGGGTCTAAACACCTGCAGTGTGCAGCGAGGAAGAAGTAACAAACAAATCCATGCCTCAACCGAGCCAAGTTGGACAATCACCTTGTAAAGAGCAGTTTTCAAAGCCTGAGAGAAAGCAAGGCGGCAACTATGGGGGATACTCTTGACAGTAGTGATAGGCTCTTTAAAAACACGATCAAGGAGCTCAACATCAAAAACCAAACTTCCAAGAGCATTTGTCACCGACTCTTTAGTATACGGCTTTAGAATACCAACAATGTAACGGCTCGAGCCGTCAGCCCCTGTAACAAACCTCGCACGACCATCCGGGTGATGACAATAACGGCTAAGAGCATGCAAAGTCATACATTTCCCACACATCCATTGACCAAAGGCCTTCAAAGTTTCTTCCACTGCCATAAATAAACCAACATCACTAGAAAGAGCTTCACGTAAAACACACTTACGATCTTCAGTAGGTAGATGATGCCTTTTGATGTGTGAAATCATACGGCCAATCCCCTTACTTCCCACTTCACCATTTGGGCAACAATGGAAGCTTCTGAACGGGCACAGACAAATATCACTCGAACTTATGGAAGAAGAAGCCATACAAGATAACAAGCCTCGAGATGAAGCTAACCCTATGAAGCAATATTTAACAAGGAAGGGAAGGAAATGACACGCCAACACACTATTGGTGTGCACAAGAAGCATCCAAACTAAGCAAACTACATTATCCTGAACAATAATGCTGCAACACGAGAAAAACTGGTTTGGGCATTTTATCAAACACTTGGTAGGAAACAAAAATAGCTTCTTAGAATTTCATCTTCTTCCATTGAAACATCAACCCAAAAATCTCTAATTTAATGCTGGCAATGAAGCGAAATTGTATCAAAAGTGAAAATCAAAAACCGAATCAATAGTTAAGACGAATTATGAAGAATCGGAGAGCTCTTCAAGAAGTGAAGATTCTAGCTCATCCAAGGAAGACAGTTCGAGTTCCAATGGTAATGATGCTCATTATGACTCTTCAATCGATCAAAACCTTGAGTTCATTAGAAACAGTTTAAAGACACACTCGGATGAATCAAACTGTGGGGTACCTTGAGTTCATTGAATGTAATTTTATTTGCAATCTAATATCAAGAAAAGAATTCTTTTAATGTTAAAACTAAAAGAAGAAACAATTACTAGTGACTTGTGACTTGACCAACATAGTTATTATAATTTCAAGTAAGAATCAGTAAATAGATTGGAAGATACAATACTAGATTACAACCCGTAAAAACCACGGGTAAAAAATTTATAAAATTTTATTAAGCTAATAAGATATAAGTTTTGTTTAGACTATTTTATTGATTATTTTAAATTAACATATTTTTAGTTGAATATCCAATATAGACATTTAATATAATATGAATTAATTACGTAGTTTGTTAGTAGTGTGATTTTAAAGCTTACCAAATTAAACAATTTATAATCGGAAGTTCAAAAATAAAGATAAGTAACTTATCAATTGCTGAATAAAATGGAACCGAAATAAATGCTACATAAACTGAAGGGCAGAATAACCGGAAATTAAAATGAATGAAAGGTATTGGAGTAAAATTACATTTGAGGAAAAACGATCAGTGGAGTGTCATGTGGACAATTGGATTCTTTTATTAAGATTAGATTATAACTATTAAAAACAAGAAAATCTTTAGAAAAACCTACCATAATATTTTATAATATTAAAAAAAATGTTATTTTTATGTCCACTAGAACTATTATGTTTTTTTTTATTCGGTAAAATTAATGTTTTACAACCAGATAACCGATGATAATCGGTTGCGACATGAACTTAAAAGTATTAAATGACATTTTCGATCTAAATTTTAAAGATTATGTGAAAAATTAATGGTATTATTGTTTTTAACAAAATTATATATATTTTCTAATATATCTGCTGGAATTTAATAATTTCAAGTAATTTTTTCACT